AACTAAATCAAATTTCTATAAATAAGTGCCTTTAAATCAATAAATCTTAATTTTTCATCAGTTTAAAGCATTAAAAAATACTTGAAATTGCCATTGCTTGTGGCTTCCTTTGTGTATCAACTCGAAACAGACGCCAGCGTTATCAGTTCACGTCTGTCAACACTTACAAAGCCCTTAAGGAATCTCGAGAGAGGGAAAATTTGGGGATGAGAGGGATAATTTGGGCATCGCGCTATTTCCCTCTCGGATCTTCTGGATTCTCTTTTCTTTCTAGATCGCTTGAATATAGTTTCGCCTTTAAATAATATTATACCTCACCGATTTTTTCTCATACTGTTCTTTGCTATCTGTTAAATGTCCATATGTAAGGGATGGTTTATTCTTCACCGCCTTAAATGATTTTTAGAACTATGAGCTTATATAAATAACAGTGTGCCTCATTGTGTTATATTAACATTATTTAACTAGTAATAAATTATGATAGTAAAATAATTAATCTTGTAATAAATTATGATAGTTAAATTAATAAATACTGTTTAATTTGTGTTTTTAATACATATACTCAGTAATTTACACACATAAATATATATATATATATATATATTTTATTTTATTTATTTATTTATTTTTTTGGGTGTATGCGGTTGTGGTCTTGTATTGTATATGGTTCTATGTTGTTAGTCTGCTGCTGCTTTTTGAAAAATGTATGAAAATGTTGAGAATGAAAGTAGCATAAGTTACTTTGGTTAAATTAATATATACTTTTGTTTGATGACCTTTGTTGATATCTCAGGATGCAAGCGTACATATTACTTTATATTCCATGCTAAATACCTTGATACGAAGCATTTTAACACCGTCAATATTTGTTTTTTTCCCCAGTAACACACATCTATTCACCATTACCAAACACACTCACTACACAAACACACCTGTGAGACACTATTTATTGTAAATGAAGACAGTTTCTTCTCCTTTTAACTACACTCATGGACACAATCGTATTTTAGGATATTTTCTACTTCTTTTCCTTTTCTTTCTATAGGCCCTTTTTTTTTTTTTTTTTTCCCCTCTATTATTTTTGGGCCATTTATTTTAAATTTTATTTTGTCCCATCTTTTCTTCCTGGCCTTTTGAACTCGTACAAGATGTACGAAGTTCCTTTTTACTCTCCTCAAATACGAAATTGCCCCTCTTTCTATATACCTTTCCTTCGCACCTATGCTTGATTTTTCGCCCATCGGTGCAGAAAGACTTAGCGGGTGCAAAACAAGACATGTCTTTGTCTGTCTCTTTCTGCACGGGAGTGGAACATCTCGACCTTTTCTGGGGCGTGTTTTCGAATCGTCCAAAAGAGTGACACGGAAATTCAGATAAGTAATTCTTGTTCTCTATCACTAGAGTGTCATTAAATTTCTTTATTTATTATTTTTTCATAAGATTCTAGCATTATAAATAATTGGTAATAGTAGCAGGTATGTGGTTCTTTTCTTCGTAACTATTCCGTAGAGACGCCACATTCCTTATCAGTAGTCCGTTCTTATCAGCAACTCACAACCCCTTCGGAGGCCCCCCCTTTTCGTGCTTAGGAATTTCTTGTGAGGGAAAAAATGGGGATCTCTTGATCATCGATGAGTATAGATTGTGATTTTTGTAACAAATTTCCCGACTTTTTTTTTTTTTTCAGGTCTCAAACTTAGAACTTATGAGCAAATAAAATACAGTGACGGAATTTGTTAAACTTGTACTATAATAAATTTTCAATGGTTAAATTAATAAATTAATTTTATATTTAACAATATTTAAGAAAAATAAACTGTATAATTTATTTTTGCTGAAATGCTCTCACACTGTGTATGATGGATTTATAATTTTGTCAATTACTGTTTTTTCTGAAATATACATGAATTTTTGGGAAACGGTAATATTTAATGTTACTTTAGTTAAAATATTATGTACATCTCTGTGATGATATATGTCTTTTCTAGTTATTTCTCAAGATAAGGGCATACACATTACCATGTAGGAATTCATTCCTTTTTTTTTTTTTTTTTTAAACTTAGCTAAAGTTTGCTTCTTAAAGACACTAATTTTTGCAGATGAACTCCTTAACTACACTCATGGATACAATCGTATTTTAGGATATTTTCTACTTCTTTTCCTTTTCTTTCTATAGGTCCTTTTTTTTTTCCCTCTATTATTTTTGGGCCATTTATTTTAAATTTTACTTTGTCCCATCTTTTCTGTCTGGCCTTTTGAACTCATACAAAATGTACGAAGTTCCTTTTTACTCTCCTCATATACGAAATTGTCCCCTTTTCTGTATACCTTTCCTTCGCACCTATGCTTGATTTTTCGCCCATCCGTGCAGAAAGACTTAGCGGGTGCAAAACAAGACATCTGTCTACTTTTTCTGTCTGTCTGTATCAGGTGGTATTGTTTTCCCCGTGTTTAGTAATATCTTCGTACACATAATTTTATGCCAGAAATATAAAATATTCATTATAAAAATTCTATTCAAATTTCATTAAGTTTCGATGTTGGTTGTCTGTAGGTCAATATATGTTCTTGCGGGTATTGACATCACATGTTAAGGTTAGTTATTTCGACGCTACTTTTATTTTGAAATGCTATCATATGAAAAGATTATATTTATTTCAAGTTTACTTGTAGTTTTTATGTTAAGCGTAAACATATGTAATGAATTTATGCTAAAAATACAAATATTAATAGGTCCTCTAAATTTTAACGTGTGAGTTAAACACCTTTTGATGCTGATGAAAATGAATTTTATGAGAAAAGGTGTTAAAATGCGATCCAGTTATTATATACTTGCACATGTATATTTTCTTAATATTTTTATACTTCTTCCTTTCTGTTTCAACGTTAGATTTCAGTAAAATTATTGTAAATAACTTTTAAAAAATTCATTTGATCTACATGTTAACTGTGGGCGAATTCATCCGTAATTTACAGTTGCTAAAGTTTTTTGAAATGAGCCCCCCCCCGCCGAAAAAAAAAGGAGCCAAACGAAAGAAGTAAAACCATTAGCTTATATTCATTGCTATGTTATTTTGCAAAGTTTTTGTATTTTAACATAATGATAATACTTCCATTTAAGTATAAAATTTTGAATGCTGGTGCATTAGAAAAATATCTTATTTTTCCCTCTTTTTCTATGAAGGCAATATTCCTTAGCAAATTTGTAATTGGCTGATACATTGTTTCATAAAAATGTTCATTATTCCTGCCAGTTTTGTATGCAAAAGTGCAGAACAGTTTGTTTTTAAAACTAAAAGGGTCTGTTCCAGAATGCATACTATGTAGGATTAGGAACATCTGTATTAGCAACAATATTGCTGCAAATGTCCAAAAGTATGAATTGTATGTATTTTAAATTATATCAAATGCGTTATTAAAAGATGAAGAATTAAATTATTAAGGAATGTACTTATTATTTTTAAGTAACGATCTCTATTAAACAGTACAATTCTAATTTCAAACATAAGTGAAAAATGTTTCATCGAATGGCAGTACTCTGGAAGTTAGCTATTTCGCACTATTATGGCATGTTTAATGAATATACTTTACCAGGACATGTACATGATAATATTTTCTATCAGGCGAAACTTAGGAGGGCTATACATACATCCTTCTTAAAAAGACCACTACAAGTGGTTTGGCAGCATTTAAAATTAATTTGGTGAAAACTAGAAAACACTATGGCAACCGTAAAAAAATTAAAATCTGCAATGTATGGGGAAAAAATAACAGTAATATTTCTAGGTAAAGGCTGTAATTTATCAACTGCTGTATTACAGAATTTAATAGTGGTACTTTCTGATTTCTACCCATATTTAATTGTCTGCTGCACAATCTAACGGAAGTCAGTTCTTTAGCGCAAAAGTATATGAAATGCAAAGCTGTAAGAAAAGGTATCTTGGAAGCAAGGGCATGAAGCCTTTTTTTCACTTGTATCTCCAAATACTTTACCTCTCAAGAAACTAGCAGCCATATTTGCTCTTTCATCCAATATACAGAATTCCATACTTTTGAAGGAAAAAATCACTTCTTTTTCATTTAATGGTTAGTTAAATAGGTTAACATTTTTGTGAAAAAAATGAAAGACTGAATAATATTGCGAAGAAACTACCGCTTATTTTTTACTTGATGGAAAGTTAAAAAAACTAATATTTTAGAGGGAGAAAAATGGAAATACAATATTATATGGCAGGGGTGTCCAAACAGTACATCAATGAGAGTCGCATACTAGAATTGGCAAACATCAAGAACCACAACTAGATTTTCAAGGCACCAATTATGACTGAAATTTTTAAACATATTGTATAATGCATATCGCACATCAATATAAAGAAAATAAATATATTAGTAAATAAAAATAAATAAATATTAATTATTGCATTTGTGAATTTGCATGCATTTACTTTGAAATCTGGTGTGTAATTTGTTAAGGTAGTATGCATCAGCTCTGCAAGGTGCTGATGTGTCAGCTGTAGATGTTGTTTTGATTTTTATGAATTTCACAGTTGAATAAAAAGTTTCACAGGAATATGTGGTTTCAAAAATGGAAATTACCATATTTGCAGGCGTATAAGACGCATCCCCCTTATTTTAAAAATAAAGTAATACAAATATAAACTAATACTTTATGAAAATACCCATTCTATCTGGGAAAAGAACACCTTTTAATCTTCTTCATCAAATCCATCATCTCCAGACATCATCTCCAGAGCTAAATGAAGAGTCATTTGAAACCTCTTCTAAATCAACATCCGAGTCCTCATACAAAAAAAAAAAAAAAAAAAGTCCTTTGTACCATTTAGTGCATTACTAATGCCACACTTAAATGATTTAACCACTGTCTTTGTTTTCACCACATCCCATGAAGCTCCAACCTTTTCACAAGGAAGCTCCGCTAGGAAACAAGAAAAAAAAAATCATGTAAATCTGAATAAATTGAGTATTGACGTATAAAATAAATCTCGTTTTTCAGACCTATTTTCAAAGGAGAAAAGTGCTTCTTATACGCCAGCAAATACGGTACTTTCAAGCAAGGATACTTTGATTCAGGCTCAAGTTTCCAAAACTCCATTGGAGAAAAAGAGTTATGATGCATTTGTAATGATTAATTTTCTTGCATTTCTGCCAATTCCATTTCACCAGCTGCTTTCTTGGTAAGTATTATATCAGAAATTTGACAAGTCTTCAAACCAAGTTTTAAAATCTGTTAGCAATCGTTCCGACTTTTCTTGGTATTCATTAAGGTTTTCTTCTTTAAATTAAAAAGATCTTTTTTTTAGATGAGCAAAATAGTTGAAGGATTTAATTTTAAGGTCATTCTGAAAAATATGAAGTTTAGTCTGAAAGCTGAATATAATCTGAGAGAGATCAGATATCATTTTCCCTTTTTCTTGTAATGCTCAGTTAAGACTGTATGTGTTTCATTGTATCAGTTACAAACATTAAATCTTGTAACCAGTTGTCATCTTCCAGTTGTGAAATGGCTTTTCCGGTTGATCTTTGGATTATGGTAACTTGGCGATTTTTTGGCGACCAACTCTGCTACAGCAACCCTCTATTTTTTTTTCGCTACCATTTTGTCTTCATGAAGTAAAGACATGTTTCTTTTCTTTTTATTTACTAAACACTTTTTCCAACAATCTACTAGCCGAATTATGCTAGAAATTCTATGTAACAAAACTGATTAATCATGACAAATATTAACTGCAAAATTGGGAGAAAAAGTGCACAATCGCAAACTCCTTGCACGTTTTTCAGAATAGACATAACAAACCATTTACACGTCGACTTATTTTACTTAAAAAAACATTCCAGAATGCACAAAAAGGCTTGCCACACTCTTACTTATCCATCTACACTGCTATTTCTCATAAATTACAAAAAATATGCACGAAATGCAAAGAATTCTGTGAATCTTTAAACTCGGTAAAAGCACATATATGAAATTACCTGATGCGAAAAAGATATACCCTTTCCAGGATGAACATTCCATGTATAAAATAAATAAAAATATCCAAAACTTTTACCTCTAAATTATATGTGTATTAAAACGTCACCAACAATTCATACCGCAAACATTACAAATGGTTATAAATACTTGGTGTCAAATATTTAAATTATTCTATGCACGTTTACTTCAACTGAAACGTTACCAATTCCTCAAAACATAAAATTCACAAAATAACTATCATTTAATTAAAATATCACTAAACCAAGTACACGTCGACTTATTTTTACTTAAAAAAACATCCCAGAATTACACAAAAATGCATTGCGCACACTTCACTATATCCATGTACACTGCTTTTTTCTCATAAAATTAGAAAATTTCACAAAAATACATGACAATTTTCTGAATCTTTAAACCCGGGTAAAAAAGAACATACATGAAGTTACCTGATCGTGAAAAAGTATATACCCTTTCCAAATATGAACATTTCCACATAAAATAATAAAATAGCCAAAACTTTTACCTCTAAATCATCTATTATATTATAAACGTCACCAACGAATTCATACCAGCAAGCATTACAAATACTTAGTGTCAAGTATTTAAATTATTTCCATGCACGTTTACTTCACTGAAATGTAACAAATTCCTACAGACATATATTCACAAAATAACTATCATTTAATTAAAATATAATTAAATTCAAAAAACACTACTTTAAAATATTAATAAGCACATACATTAAATTAATAAAAAATTAGCTTACAATCCTAATTACTTTAAACTAAATCTTTGCTAATAACAATTTTTCAGTAATACCATATTACTTTATTTACTCCTTACATTTAGAACAATGCATAAAATAATATCCTCAAATAACTAAAAATACTGACTTACCTAATCTTCTTCAGAATCTTGATTACGTGTCCGATAAACTTTTCTTCTTTTCTCCGCTAAATAAAAAGCAAGCGTATGTGCCGCCTGTTTCAGGATCTTTTAAAATCATACTATAGTTCACAGCAAGGTACCAGGTAAAATAAATAACTTAATAAAACTTCTTTACTTCTATCTCGCACAACCTTAAAAAAACACTTATTACTACCCCTTTCAATCCCACTAAATACCCATTTTGAATTCACTTTAGTTAGGGCCATGGGATCCAAAAATTAACCAACAGTGTTTCACACAACACAGAAAAAAGCTAAATACAAAATTTCCAGATTTCCCCCCTTTTCCGATTAAAGAACTGTAATTTGTTCATTAATGTCACATGACATATCTCATGACCTCTCATTTCCCTCACACAAAATAATGCGTAATCGGAACTGAGTATTTCTCACATTATTACCAAAGTCCTAGGTAGTAACCTTTATCGCCTCCAAAATGTCGCCAAACTACCAGTTACCATATTCCAAAGATCAGCCGCTTTTCCTTTTTCTTTAGAAATACAGTGACAGAATTAAGTAGTTCAACAAGATTTAAAACTTTATAAGTTTATAGTCACCTTATAATGCAGCAGAAAGTAGAAGCTCTGCATTGCTCATATCTCCAAGAAAATTTTTGAATTGGCAGTGATTTTTTTTTTTAGTTTCTTCGAATGTAA